TTTTTTAAATGGCATCAAGCTCAAGACAAAGGGCAATGGAGGGAGAAAAAAAAACAGACATTTACAGCGGGACTACTTTCCTTTGCAGGCATTGAGCCTGTACAAGCCAAAAAGAAAAAAAAAATAGAAAGATGAAAAGCCAATCCACAGAAGAAGTGCCAATAACTAAAAAAGTCATGGAAATATATTCAATGCTTTCCCTCCCGCCCCCAAGCCCCATGTAAAGAAATGAAAACTCAGAGTATAAACATGAGTGAGCTCAGAATGCATTAAAGACCAAAATGGAAGAGCTGGAACTGTAAAAATCAGGGATAGGGGAACAAATCAAGATGCTGAGGCCCACGCCTGGCAGGCACAAGATCCTGAGCTTGATGCCCAGTATCACATGTCGTGAGCATCACTGGGCGTGGCCCTGCTGGCCTCAACCCCAGATACAGACATTAAACTTCGGGCCCGATTGGCCCAGCAAGGCCAGGAGTGGGCTATGGATCCCCTAGATACGATGGAAAAAGCACAAGTAGCCAAGGTGGGGTGGAAAAATAAATCGGACTTCATCAAAACTAAAAAGCTGGTCCTTCGAGGACACCATCAGGAAAATTAAAATAACACATTAAATGTTGGGGTGGGGGGAAAGTCTTTATAATCACCATGGGTAACAAACCTATATAGATATTATGCAAAGAGCCACAGCAACTCAACAATAAAAAGACAAAGGACGAGGGCTGGAGAGAAAGCACGATGGGTAGGGTGCCTGTTCTGAAAGCATGCTGACCCGGGTTCGATCCCTGCCATCCCATATGGTTCCCTGAGTACTGCCAGGAGTAATTCCTGAGTGCAGAGACCGTAGTAACCTCTGAGCACCACCAGGTTTGGCCCCCTCGCCCCCAACACAAAACAAAAAAGACAAAGCATCTAAAGGGTCTAAAAATGGGCAAAGCACCCGACTAATAATTTATTTAAGAAAGACAACAAATGGTCCCCAAATCAGTTTTTTTTAAGTCATTGTCATTAGCTTTCAGGGAAATAAAATCAAAATCACACCATGATTCTCCACATCTTCTACAAGGGTTATAATCAAGATAGAGACAGATCTTCAGCAGGGTTGAGGGAAACTGGAGTCTCATGAACAAGAGTGGAATGAAAAAGTATCTCTGCCCAATCCCCACTTTAGAATCAGTCTAGAAGTTCCTCAGAAGGATAAGTACTAGGCTAGAGAGATGGTGCGCATAGCCTTGTCGCCTACTGGTAACAGTTTGGTCTTTGGCACAGACAAGAGTAAGCCTTGAGGGGCCTGGAACAATAGCACAGAGGGTAGAGGGTTTGTCTTGTACACGGCCTACCCGGGTTCGATTCCCAGCATCCCATATGGTCCCCTAAGTACCACTAGGAGAGATTCCTGAGTGCAGAGCCAGGAGTAACTCCTGAGCACCGCTGGGTGTGACCCAAAAAGCAAAAAAAAAAAAGAGTCGCCCCTGAGCCCATGCCAAAAATAGTCCACGAGTGCTGCTGGGTGTGCAGCAAAACTCAAATTTAATTACCTAGCTGATCTTTTTTTAAAGGTTAACCATGGGACTACCTGTGATTTCATGACTCATCTCTTAAGCAGACACCTATGAAAAGGAGTAGCACCTGATCACACGGAAACTTTACATGAACGTTTCCTAGCATGGCGCAGAATGAAATGGAAGCCACTGAAATGGCCATCCACGGAGATGGGGCAGGGGACCAGTGCTCAGCTCACGGAGAGGGTAGCAGGGCTGCAGCTCTCAGTAGGTGGACACCTGTTACTGCTGAAGGATAAAGCAGCCGAGGGCCTTTCCCTCAGCTGAGTCATGGGCGTGTTCACTCAACAGGAGAGAGCACATGACAAAGCCAGTGGAGCAAAATCGTCCTTAGCATTCCTATCTTGTTGGGACATGGTTTATGATGCAAGATTTCTGTTATTTAAAAAATATTTCCAAATAAGAGCTCGCACGTCCTTCTCTCCCGGAAGGGAACACAAAATGACGCTTACCATAACCATCCCGTCAGACCCCGCACCAGGCTGTTTCACTTGGGGCACCCCAGACGAAGGGTGGGTGAGAGCCCTCCCTGCCCCAAGGGACCCAGCCATGGCAGCTGAAAACCTCTAGAACTCAACTGTCACCATGCTCACGGCCACTCTCTACACACTCGGGCAGAGCCTCACCCACTAGTGAACCTATTCCTGGACCATGTGGCCACAAATGCAGCCGCACAACACTTCATAGGATACACCCTACCCATACTCCAAGAGTACCACACTACATTTGATGGGGTACAAAGTAGTAGGCAACCAATCTTAGAGGGAAATATTTTACAGATATATATGTATATATATATATGGGTGTATACACACACACACACACACACACAAGGCTCAACCTTTAACAAAGTGTTAGTGATCTCTTATAGAAGGTCTTAATGGTCCCTGTCGAAATAGAACAGTCTTCGGGGCTGGAGCGATAGCACAGCGGGTAGGGCGTTTGCCTTGCACGCAGCTGACCCAGGTTCAATTCCCAGCATCCCATATGGTCCCCTGAGCAGCACCACGGGTAATTCCTGAGCACAGAGCCAGGAGTAACCCCTGTGCATTGCAGGGTGTGACCCAAAAAGCAAAAAAAAAAAAAGAAAAAGAAAAAGAAATAGAACAGTCTTCACACTCTTTCCTCTAAAGATACTTTTTTGTAGCATTTTCAGCAGTTTTTCATAACAATACAAAATATATTGTTTCAGTTCTGCCTTGGGACAGGGATCGGGGTTCGGGACGGAAACATCCGAAATATTGTGGTGGGATTGGTGTTGGAATATTAAATGTAATCAAATATTGTGAACTACTTTATAAAATTTCAAAAAATTTTAAAAAAATACTTCCAAGTAAAAGGTGAAAAGCAAGTGAGCAGACAGGGGCTGGGGCTACGGCTCCATGTAGGGGACCCCCATGAACAAGGCCCTCAAATGGCCCCCAGCATAGTATGGCACCCCACCAACACCAAGTTGTGGCCTTTGCAGCCATGAGCACCCACCAGCCCAGGTGCCACTGGGGGAGTGGCCCGTGTGTGTGTGTGTGTGTGTGTGTGTGTGTGTGTGCGTGTATCTGAAGTGAAGCTGAGGACGAGGCTCAAATGGTAAAGCACAGTTGCTTGTATGCACAGGTTACTTGTATCCTCGGATTCCCTCCCCGGCAGTGCACAGTCCCACAAACTCCACCAGATGTGGCCCCCGATGGCCCCCAAAGCACGTCTGGGAGCACAGCCCTCAAAATAAATAAAATTGGTTCAAGGAAGTGAACAGACAATTCAAGGGGGTCACTCATGAGTATAGAACCAGAAATAGCCCCAGAGCACCATTGGGTGCAGCCCAAACACCAAAAAAAGCATAACAAAGACAAGGGCACTTTCTACCCCCTGTCTTTACCCTGACCAAACAAACAAACAAACAAACAAACAAAAAAAACAGTTACGGAGGCCCTGGTACACTTTGGCAATTCTGGAAAATCTGGTCTCCTTCAAGTAAGGCTTCAGCCTCGACCCAGAGGTGCGGCTATGGTTCTCCAGCAGGTGCCGCTGTCAAACCTCTGATCTTCACCAAAATGCAGTTCCAACAGCTGCCGGGAGGCGGAACACAGCTCCCTCCCTCCCTCCCGCAGAGGGAGGCCTAAAGCAGGGGTCCGTGACCACGGGGCCACAGCGCTTGCACAGTGCTGGGCTTCGCCTTGATTCTCCCAGTCCCTGGTCAGGGATGCAGGGCAGGTGCAGTCTGCAGGTGTATAAAGTCTGGAGGATGCTGGGCTCTAGAGCAACTAACCTCGAGAGCAACTAACTCCTAAAAGGTCGAGCTTCGAAAGGGGAAAGAAAAAAGTGGCAAAACCGGCAAGCATTGTCACCAGGGGCCGGACCAATAGTATAGCAGGTTGGGTGCCTGCCTTGCACACAAAGTGTGCTCAATATTCTATTTTGTTTGGGCTTTTGTTTGTCTGTCTCTGGTCCCTCTGGTTTGATTTTTTTTTTTTTTTTTTTTTTTGCTTTTTGGGTCACACCTGGTGATGCACAGGGGTTACTCCTGGCTCTACACTCAGGTGTTACTCCTGGCGGTGCTCAGGGGACCATATAGGATGCTGGGAATCGAACCCGGGTCGGCCACATGCAAGGCAAACGCCCTACCCGCTGTGCTATCTCTCCAGCCCCCTGGTTTGATTTCTGAACGTGCAGATAGAAGCAAGAGATGAACAATATGCCACTCCAAATGAGGTGGCGGTTTAATTTTTTTAAAAAGAATTTAAATTTTATTTTCATAAAGTTGTTCACAATAATGGTTTGCTTGGGGGGGGGCATCACACCCAGAGATGCTCAGGGGTTGAGTCCTGGCTCTGCACTCAGGAGTAACTCCTGGCAGTGCTTGTGGGACCATAGGGGACGCCAGGGATCGAACCTAGGTTGGCTGCATGCAAGGCAAACGCCCTCCCCACTGGACTATCACTCCAGCCCCAGTGGTTTGCTTTTTTAAAAAAAATAACTGGTTGTCCGGAGGGGGAGCTTGACTGCTCCTCCCTGAGTCCCCAGGTCTACAGGGAGCCCCACAGGCTGTGGTGAAAGCATCGTTCTCCATGTGGGGGGACGGGGGGGGGCAGAGATGCAAAAGTCAAGAATAATCTGTCAACAAAGGAACAAATTTGCTGAAGGCGGCAGCAAACAGGCACTGGAGAAAGGGAGAGAAAGGGACAGTCACACTGCAACTCCACCCCAGCCCCACTTGAGGAAAGGGCATTCTGGATAGTAAGTCAGAAATTAAAACCCAGAAGGCAAAATGTCCTGAAGCCTATCCAAAAATAGGTTTTGCCTACATCTGCTGGGCAAATCAGGCGTCGAATGGAAGGCAGGCAGGGTTCGCCTGTCTCCTGAAAGGGCGGGAGCGGAGAGAAGGGTTTCAAGGAAGGTAATGCAGGGAAAGTGAGTAACAAGTGGTCATGACTTAGTACCTACGGGAATGAGATGAGTGGGCTGGGATTCTTCGAGCTTGTTTCTCAGCCAGTCGAAATCCTGGTATCTTCGACGAACAGAGTATTCTGGGAGGTCAAACTCCACCCGCGTACTCTGCAAAGAAGAGGAACAAAATCAGCACAGGGGACCAGGACAGCTCTTGGCAGAAGGGAAGGAAAAAGCTCTCTCTGGAAAAGGCCAACCCGGGCAAGGTCACACGTTCCTTCCATCGAACGCGGCTGGCAGATTGCTGGGCTTACCCGCCCAGAATTCCAACTCCGGGGCCAGGGGGCCCAGCCCAAAATTCCAGGGTCTGGATTGAAGATTCTACCCTCAGGAAACGGAACTCACTTGTCCTCGGGAACTGTTTAGAAACACTTGATTCACTCCTTCGGGTGGAACTGGGCTTTGCTTCCAGGACAACCCCACTAAGGAACTTGCTAAATGCACTTCTGTAAATCTGTTAGAAGACATGATGTCTCCGCCTTCTGCTAAATCTGCTGACAAGATTCAGCAGAGGGGAAACAAACAGGCCAAAAAGAGAGAGCAAATCCTCCAGGAAACAGACTAGAGGGAACAGAAGAGATGTTGCTCTGACCGGCACATTCTTACAGACCCATAACTTTAATGCTGTATTTTAGAAGTACAGGAAAAATACCTCTCACTGTCACTGTCACTGTCCTCCCGTTGATCGTCGATTTGCTCGAGCGGGCCCAGTAACGTCTCCATTGGAGACTTTGTTGTTACTGTGTTTGGCATCTCGAATACGTCACGGGGAGCTTGCCAGGCTCTGCCGAGCGGGCGAGAGACTCTCGGTAGCTTGCCGGGAGCGAAATATTAAAATGTCATTGTATGGGATTACCCATTCCCTTTAATTTTTTTTAAGTTTTCTGAATTATGATTAATAATAAAAACTGGTTTTAAAATGAATTTATACTAAAGCAAGATGTTTACCTACTAGTTAGCCCCAAACTAAAGCAATATCTCAGGTAAATCATTTTCCTGTACGATACAAGGGTCTATACAATAGCCAGTATAGAAACTAAAGTGCAAGGGGAAAATGGCTTGAGCTACGTTTTACAAATTTACTCTTGCAAGCCAAAAGTCTGCTGAATCCACAATACCAGGAAAACCTTAAAAACACATGAACAAGAGCCATCAATCAAAAAAAAAAAAGCTGGGGACAACTCTGGCACAGAAAACTATAATCTCACACTCCCCTGGGGCCTCTGCCTGGATCCCAGCCCTTTGAGCTGTTTTACTTAGATTTACAGTATATTAAGTATATATTATTAATAAATCACTGTCACCGTCCTCCCGTTGTTCATCAATTTGCTCGAGCGGGCCCAGTAACGTCTCCATTGGAGACTTTGTTGCTACTGTGTCTGGCATATCGAATACTCTCGGTAGCTTGCCGGGCTCTCCGAGAGGGGCGGAGGAATCGAACTCGGGTCGACCATGTTGGCTGCGTGCAAGGCAAACGCCCTACTGCTGTGCTCTCGCTCCAGCCCATTATTAATAAACACAATATATAATTATACAGTACACTCTATTAAGTATATTTTATATTTGCAATATATTAAATATATATTGACGTTATATTTACATCCTGGGTCTTCCGTATAAGTCTTAAGAGAAAACAGCAAAGTTAACTATACATACAGCAAAGTTAATCATACATACATTATTATTTCATTTGTCTTTAAAACGGAGTTCAATATAAAAAATCTAGACTCGATCACAACTGTACTCTTGACAGTCACCCTTGTATCTGCCCCTTTATTGCTTGGGGGGGGGGCTGGGGGGGGGCAGTGACAGGCACCTCACCAGCGTGACTGTGGTGCTCACTGGAGGCTGTGTACGCTGGTGCTGGTGGTGCACACAAGCTCACTCAGGGGGGGCGCTCACACACGTTCTGCCTGGGGGCTTTGCCCGGGGTCACACTCTTAACCACCACACATCTTTAGCTGGGGTGCTTGCCGGGGGCAGCGTCATTTTTGAGCAGTGGGGTGCTCTCTCTCTCTCACACACACACACACACACACACACACGCACACGCATACTCACACATCTGGCTGTGTGACAAAGAGTAAACACTCTGTTGCAGGACCAGAGGTTCCAGGTAGTGCTCCTGCTGGGACGGTGCTCAGTGACTGGGAGTGGCCCCAGGATCAAACTCAGGACCTTATGCTTGCAGGGCAGGTGGTTTTAGCCCCCAGGAAACCACCCCACCCCACCCATATTCACATCATATCATATTCATTCAGACCTTTATAATCTCCTCTCTCTCTCTCTCAAACACACACACACACACACACACACACACACACTTCCCGTTTTTAAAGCCCCTGTAATGGCTAGGAGGACTGGTCAATGATTGGAATCAACCACACGTGTGTGTGTGTGGGGGGGGGGGGGGGGGGGCGGGGGGGGAGGGGGGAGGCTCAGGTGGATAAGATAGAGAAGAGACCACTGTGACAGCTGGAATGATCACGCTGAACAAAAACTGAGTGTTTAAATAGGTATGGAAGAGATAGTCCTGATAACCTTTCAATATCTGTATTGATAACCACAATGCCCCAAAGGGGAGGGGGAGAGACAGAGACAGAGACAGAGACAGACAGAGAGAAGAGAGAGAGAGAGAGAGAGAGAGAGAGAGAGAGAGAGAAGAAAGTCTGGGCTGGTACTCCAGCCCAGCAGAGTGGGCAGGGCATTTGCCTTGCACGCGGCTGACCTGGGTTCGATACCCAGCATTCCATTCTAAAAAAGAAAAAAAATAGAAAAGTGCCAGCCATAGAGGCAGGCAGGGAGTGGCAGACGGGTGGTGATGGGAGGGAACCTGGGGACACTGGTGCTGGGAAACATACACTGGTGAGGAGATGGGTGTTGGAATACTGTGTGACTGAAACCTAATCATGAACAGCTTTGTAACGGTCTATCTCACTATTCAATAAATATTAATTTTTTTAAACCCCTGTAAGGGCTTTTCATCATTCATTCATCATCCTGTTAATCGTCGATTGCCTCGAGCAGGCCCCAGTAACGTCTCTTTCATCCTAGCCCTGAGAATATATTCAAGGCTCTTTAGGAGAATGAGACCCATCATTGTTACTGGTATTTGGCATATTTGGTACGCCACGGGGAGTTTGCCAGACTCTGCCCTGTGGGCAGGCTACATTCGATAGCCTGCAAGTTTGTCCAGATGTTCTGATAAGATGTCGCGCGGCCACGAATGCGGCCGCGTGGTTCCGGGAGCTGCATTTTGTAGTCTCTGAGTCTTGGCCGCTGATGGGATTACACGGCGCCAGGGGGCCAGGTGGTGGGTGTGACCCCCGCCTACTGGAATTTGGAGGATCTGGGTGGAGGATGCTCGACTCCAATTCGAGTAGGCTTGGAGATCTCGGCCCCGGAACCCGCGTGGCTTTGTCCCTCTGCCAGTACCTTCATGTGTGCGGAGAGTGGTCTCAGCATGGTGGTGGCTGGTCCTGGAGGTCTTCGGCTGCTGGAGCCCTGGTCGGGGTGGGGAGGAAAGCTCAACCCGCTCCCCTCCAAGGGACCCCGGTGAGGAACAGCCAGGCGCACACATGAAGGTACTGGCAGAGGGACAAAGCCACGCGGGTTCCGGGGCCGAGATCTCCAAGCCTACTCGAATTGGAGTCGAGCATCTTCCACCCAGATCCTCCAAATTCCAGTAGGCGGGGGTCACACCCACCACCTGGCCCCCTGGCGCCGTGTAATCCCATCAGCGGCCAAGACTCAGAGACTACAAAATGCAGCTCCCGGACGAGACCAGTGCAGTAAGGGCTTATGGGACTTAATAGAGAAAATTTGTCTGATGTTTTGAAAAGTGAAGACATTAAAAAAATATATCATCGAGCTAGAAAGTAGGGTGCTCCCACGCTGAACCAATATTTATTTTACTTTTACCACAACTTGTTCTAGAAAATACACCCTGGTATGTAAATACAACCAAATGACATAAATTAGAAGTAGGTGAGAGAGACGGAGAGGAAACAAGGACAGCCAGGAACTGCGGCTCCAGCAGGAGGCAGGGACAGCGCGCACCAGGAAAGCCAGCACGTGTGCTGAAACTGGGCCACAGGCCCGCCTGGGAAGTTCCAGGCAGAAACCCAGGCAGTGAGGAGGCTCCCGGCGTTCCAGAAAGACGCGGGACAGGGCGGTTCAACTACAAGTTGGGAAGAATTTCTCCTCTGAGACAGTCCAGGCCCAACCTACAAAGGAAAATGAAGGCGATACCTTTTGTGCTGGGCACAAAACAAAGAAAGAACGAGAAGGGCCATTCCACAAGCCGAGACGGTCTCGAGTCCCGCATCTGCCCCTTCTGGCTCCGCTGTGGAGAACGCCCAACGAAGGTCTCTGGCGGCCAGAGAACGGCGCTGAATTTTTGGGTCCACAAAGAGGTCGCCGGCGGCCCGGAGGACCATCATTTTTACGAGCGCTCCAGGTGAATCTGCGCTTTGGTCATCTCTAAGCATCCCGGTCAGTTGGGTTGGGTCTGAGTTTTGGTTTGGGGGCCACACACGAGCATCAGGGGTGCTAAGGACTGAACTGGGACTCCCACATATGCTCCAGCCCTTTGAGCGAACTCCCCAGCCCTTGATGTGTGTGTTTTTTAATGTATTACAGCTAGTATGTTTATAAGGGTGTTAACAGCTACGGCTTAGTGAACACATTTACACATTTACCTCATCACCACCAAAGTGTCACGTCTTGTCCACCCTAGATTTATTTTTAAATTCAACACTCTGAAACCCTAAACATGCGAGCTACCACGTGTCAATCCACCCCCCACCCCGCCGAGCACCTGGTCCTCTGGGCTCTTCCTCCTGGAGCTTAAGCACCCCCATGCCACAGCCTGGCGCTGCCGCTGCAGAACTTGGCCGCCGTCCAAAATCCACATTGGCTCACTCCAGAGAGATCAAAAGCTTCATGAGAAATGTCTCCTCCTGGGACGCCGGTGCCCAGGTGCAAACTGAGTCCATCCCAGCCGGGCTAACCCACGGATGGGCGCAACAGAGCCGCTGCCCCGTGCCTCATGCCGCAGAGTGACCTTCCACCCTTCCTCTGTCCACCCTCTCCCTCCTTTGCCACCA